GGTGTGGTGTGTGTGGTGTGTGGGTGTGTGGGTGTGTGGGTGTGTGGGTGTGTGGGTGTGTGGGTGTGTGGGTGTGTGGGTGTGTGGGTGTGTGGGTGTGTGGGTGTGTGGGTGTGTGGGTGTGTGGGTGGGTGTGTGGGTGTGTGGGTGTGTGGGTGGGTGGGTGGGTGGGTGGGTGGGTGGGTGCGTGCGTGCGTGCGTGCGTACGTGCGTGCGTGTGTGTGTGTGTGTGAGTGTGTGTGCGTTTGCTGATTATCGGGGGCAGCGTTCCTGCAGATTGCCTGCACGACCACCGATAGATGCCCTCCAGGCTTCCCAGCCTGGCGCCCTTCGCAGCCTCCAGACGGCCCCTCTTCGGGCCATCTTGGGGCCATCTTGGGACCTCGTGGGGCCTCCTGGGCGCTTCTTGGGAGGGGGGAAGACGGGGCGGGCGAGGCTGCGGACGAGGAGGGGGTGCGCACGGCCAGCGCGCCACTCCAGCCAGGGCACAGAAACCGGAAGGGGGCGCTTCCAGCTGCGCTGCTGCGCTGCTGCGCTGGTGCGCTGGCGCGAGGGTGGGGCCTGCCGCAGGCAACTGGATGAGCCCCCAGAAGCCGTAGCGAACGACGCGGCTGGACAGCGGCACGGGGGTCCTGCTCTCAAAGGGGAACCTGTCGTAGGTGGTCGAGGGCACCAGAAGCAGGTGCACAAGGCCGAAGGCGGAGGTCAGGTAGTGAAGTGCGGCAACCCCCGCCACGATGCCCGCGCTCTCGACCTCAGTGGGCCCCGGACACGGAAGCGCCGTTTTTGTCTTGCCGTGCTCGAGAAGCTGCCCCTGAAATACGAAAACGATTTAAACATGTTAGCCAGCGAGAAACCCAACCCTTAATGTCTTGTAGGATATGCTGTGCGCTGTAGGTGATGCACTCAATGCGGTAATCCCACCAGCCCTCTGGACGTAGGTGGCATAACGGGAGTCTTTCTTTTCCTCTTCCAGCAACCCCGACTCCCCTTCGGGGAGGGGTTTGTCCCTCCCCCTACCTGAGAAGGCGAAAAACCACCCCCACCCCCAGTCCCGACCCCATTTCCGAACCCTCGATCCCGCGGGGTCGGGACTGGGGGTGGGGGTGGGTTTTCGGGGTCCCAAATAAAGAAAACCCACCCCCACCCCCAGTCCCGACCCCCCAGATCGCGGGCTCGGGGGTGGGCGTCGGGACTGGGGGTGGGGGTGGCTTTTCTCCTACCCCCTACCCTGGACGTTTTGGGGAGCGTTCGCGGGGGACCTCGATCCGGACCCTCCCTCCTTTGATCGATAGCCTCGAAGATGGCCCCAAGAGGCGCTACAGGGCTCCCAAGACAGCCCCAAGAGAGCCCCAAGAGGGCTCCAAGAGGGTCCCAAGAGGGCCCCAAGAGGCACCCGAGAGACCCCCAAGAGGCCCCCGGGCGGCCTCAGAGAGCCCAAGATGACCTCCAAGATGGCTCAGACAGCCCAAGCTGGATCAAAATGGCTCCCAAGATGCTCCAAACGGCCCCAAGACCGCTCCAAGAGCGCTCCAAGAGAGCCCAAAGAAGCGGGTTGCCGGCTCCTGAGGGGAGAGCCCCATCCTGTAATCGATGGCCTCCAAGATGATCCCAAGAAGCCAAGCCTTCCAGGGTTACCAAGAGGGTTCCAAGAGGGCCCCAACAACTCCCAGAGAGCACTGGCAGCAGCAGCAGCTGCCGCAAGAATACCTCTAGATGGTTCCATGAGTCCTCGTCCGCGTCGTCCTCACTCTAGTCCTCGTCCTCCTCATCCTCGTCCTCATCCTCGTCCTCGTCCTCCTCCTCTTCGTCCTCCTCCTCCTCCTCCTCCTCGTCCTCCTCGTCCTCCTCCTCCTCCTCTTCCCCTCGCCCCCACGCGGCACCCAGGGATGGCCCGAAGAGGGTTCCCAAAGCCACCTCCTTGCTCCCAGAGATCTCTCGGTTCACCCTGGTTGCTCGCCTTGTTTCCTTAGATGTGTCTCTTCGTCCCTTTTCCCGTCAGCTCTCATGGGCAGGGCTTCTGAATGAGCTGGTGGGGACACGCGAAGCGTGAAAAATACGTGTGGTGCGATCTACACAGTTTCAAGCATATATGAGTATACGTAGGTATTCATACATCTATCGCAAGGCAGTGCAGAGCAATGCCAAACAATGCAAGGCCATGTATAACAGTGCAAGGCACTCCAACGCAATGCAATGCGACGCAAAGCAATGCCAAGCAATTCCAAGCAGCGCAATGCTAACGCCACGCAACGAAATGCGACTGCGATGACGAAAAACACCCCCGCGGCGACGGGCGGCGGCGGCGGCGGCGGGAGGGCGGCGACGAGCTGGCCGGACCGAGCCACTCGGGCCCAGTGGTTACCAGCCGCGACGGCGGTGGCGATGGGCGGCGACGAGCCAGCCGGACCGCCACTCGGGCCCAGCTACCATTACCAGCCTCGAACGTAGCCCTATCCCTAAGCTTGACACGCCAAAAGGCGACGGGAATCTTCGGGATTCGCCCTCAAAAAGTAAGGGAATCCCTGAGATTGGCATCGTGATGAGGAGGTGACCAGCATAGGGATAGTGATATGTTCCAGGCTGGTAATACCAGCCGCGACGACGGTGGCGATGGGCGGCAACGAGCAGGCCTGACCGCCACGCAGGCCCAGCGACCTCAGGAAGCAGGTGAGACCTCCAAGTGTGCAAGCAGCGCACTGCGTGAGGAGAACAAAAAGAAAACTGCTCCCGGAAACGGGGAAACGAGTCTGCCCCGGGAGTGGAAGAACGGACTCGGAACCAGAGACGAACACGGCGACGGGACCGACAAAAACAAAAAACGGCTCCCGAACGGGCAACAAAACAAATGCCAAACGAAACGGGTAAAAGAAGGTCGTCTAGAAGAAGCAAACACGCCACAAACGTTTGGCGCTCCGCGCGGATTTCCTGGATCTGCGCTGGAGCCCCCTCCCTGGCGCGCGGAGCGCGCCAAGGGTTGCGCCAGAGCCGCCGCCAGGGGGGTGGGGGCCCAGCGCGGATCCAAGAAATCTGCGCGGAGCGCCAACAGTTTATGTTTATGGCGTTTTTGTTTCTTCGACCTCTGGGTGAGGGGATTCTGGACGAAGACGTTGGGCACCTTGGGGCGCTGCTTTGCCCCTCCCGCCTCCGCGTCGCTGTCCCACAGACGCCAGACGGCACGGGTAACAAAAAGGCCCTGTCCCCAGACGCTCGATCGTCTTGCGTTTTCAAAGAAATGGCTGTGTTATTAGGCTGGTGTTCTACATTCTGTATGGTTGGGTGTTGGCTTTGTGAGAAGCATGTGTGTTGTTTTCAACTGTTTCGGAATGTTTATTTCAACTGCGTTGTTGAATTCGACCCTTTTTTGATGTGGCTGCCCTGTCTCATCAAAACACCAAAAACACAAAATAAGGATGTTGCATTTATTCTACGATGGTATTGGCCATCGAGCGTCTGCTCTCGTTGCCCCTGCAGCTGCGTTGCTTCTCTCCCGACCACTCCACCAATCCGTGGCCATTTTGGCTCAAACGTTTGCTCGAGTTCCTGAGGTTCCGCGCACGCCTGCCAGATGCCGCCGCGAGCAGATTTGAAGCGACGTCTGGCAGACCTATGTGGCGACGAGGGCCCGCGCGGCGGCGGCCCTCCTGCTGCCCCTGCCCTCGGTGGCGACGGTGTGCGCCAGCGCTTGGGGGAATCTGGCGGCGCGCCTTGCGCGCCGAGCGCTCCGTCCAGCTCGAGAGGGGAGTTGCAGATTGGGCTTCGAGGAGGGAGCGCCTGCACCCTCTGTGGCAAGCCAAAATGCTGCAGCATCAACACGCACGTGCACAACAGTAACATACATACCAAGGCCTCCCCGGGCCCTGAGATCAGCACTGACTAAAAACAAAAATTATGCGTCATTGAGGCTGCACGACAGTCTGGCCGCAAAACCCTCACGCTCACGTCGCCCGAGGCGGCACCCGGCTCCTCGAGCCCGGAGGAGACGAGGAGGGAGTGGCAGCGATCGGCGGCGGCTGCTCGGCCTCCCCGTCCTCCATGCCCTCGTCGACCGTCGTGAGAAGAAAGTCGCGGGACGCCTTGAACTCACGGATCATCATCTTGATGAACCTCAGGCGCTGGTCGTCGTAGTCCGCCAGCTCCTGGTTCCCCCACTCGCACAGGTTCTCGATCGCCTGGACGAACTCCTGGTCCTCGGGTAACCTCGTAGTAATGACGATCCACGCGTCCGAATCTGACTGACCTGGCGCGCCCTCGTACGAGTGCTGCGCCGGCACGCGCAGGCTCTCCATGACGGACTCCATGCCCTCGAGCAGCTCCGGGTCCTTGCCGTCCAGCACCGCGAGGTAGGCGCTGTCCAGGTTCTGCATGTACAGTAGCGCCGTGTCCTCGATGATGGCCGCCGTTCTGATGGCGATGTTTCCAGTCCCCTTGCTCCACGTCAACGTCACTCGATTGCGATGCTGGCGGCTGTCTGGATCCCCCAGGATCTGCATGTTGGTCACGACCTTGCACGTCGTCCCCGAGTGGCGGACTGGCTCCGCCTGGATGCTCTCGAACAGGCTCCGGACTCCGTCCTCCGTCAGGCAACTCTCGAATTTGACCATGGCCGGGCGTCGGTGGCGTCGGCTGGCGACCGGGCCGCTCCTTCCTGCTACTAGCCGAAAGAAGCTGACGACGGACACGCTCTTGGGCTGCTGCTGCCATGACTGCTGGCTCGTCGGCTAGCTGATATTTTCCGCTCGTCATCGTGGCTCTCAACATATCGGCTGGCTCGGCTTTGTCTTTAGTCAATATGTCTGCTAGCTGAAGGGCTGAGGGTACCCACCGATAGCTCACACCTAGACGTTTCACGCTCTCCTTAGTGATGACTAGATCGACCGCCACCCGCTTGTCCGAGCATGACCCCGCACTCCCACAGCCGACGATGTGATCGTACAACGACTTACAGTCCGTGACCGCAATGGGAGCCAATTTCGGAAGAAACTCAGATCGACGACGCAGGCAGAACTCCCCATCACTGCCCTCGAGGAGCAGGCAAGAGATCCCATCGAGGTGACCTAGGCCGTCCATCTGGGCCTGAGTCTCCGCGGCGAGAGTCGACGATGTGACTCGACGAAGGCGATAACTTTTCCAGACCAGCGGGCTCCAGGGGCTCAGCTCGTTTCGGATCATGTTCTCGTCGGTCGCGGCGATGACGCAACCTGCCTGGGCCCCGGATTTCGAGGCGTTCTGGTTCGCGGCGTCGGCGTGCATGATGACCCGGAGACGTTCGATCGGAATCGGTTTGATCTTCCAGGACAAGTTCGAAAACTGTTTTGCCCTCCTCACGATCGTGTTCCCGTGTCTCACCTCCCCCACCGTCGGCCTGGGCATGCACTGCTGGCTCATCGAAACCTGGGCTGCTAGATCTGGCCTAGATTCTCGAGCTAACCAGTTGCCGCTACCGAGCATCGCGCGGAAGTTCGCGATTTCCCTCTCGGTCGCCGGGGTCTCCGGGGGCGCTCGGGGTCTCACACCAGCGGGCTTCATCGACTCAGCGAACTCCTTCTGAGACACGGTTATCTCCATAGTCACGGGGTTCTGGACAAGATAAGACCCACAGAACTTCCCCTCGTTGACCTTCCACTTGGGGAAAGGGAACCTCGTGCGCAGAAATCTGATGAAGGTGTTGTACTTTTTCCCTTTTCCTCCAGTCAGTATGTCATCGACGTGCGTCGATATCAGTCCCTGCAGGCGCCGGCCCTCGAACGGGAA